CGCGGGGCTGGAGGGGGCGGCCGGGGGTCCCTGAATGATCAGCTCCCCCCGCGCAGCGACCGCCCCCCAGCAGGAGTGACGGTGTCTTAGGGCTGAGGTCACCCCATAGGACAGTGAAGAAAGAGGGGAGTGAGGCTGACACTCTCGGGCCATGGGAGGGAGTCCCCAGTCCCCAGAGGTGAGAGCACGCAAGGGGGGCGGGAACCTGGCCCATGGCCGCCTGACCCGCGTTTCCATGACCGACCGCCAGGGGGCCCCCGAGGCTTACACAGCGCCCCTCAGGGCCGCGTGGGTGAGGACAGGTGGGTGCGGGACCCGCACCAAGAGGGGGCAGGTCTGGGAGGGGGTGGGTCTGGGAGCAGGGACAGGACGGGCCTCCAGGCCGGGGCCTGTGGGTGGGCCGGGCTCTCCACGCTCCGCTCCCCACCCTCACGGGTCCCATCCCACAGGCAGCTCCTGGCACATTTCCACTGCCTGTCCTGCGACCGTCCCCTGGAGACAGCCGTGACTGGACAGTGAGTGCCCACGCCTGGTCGGCCCCACTCCCTGCCCCCCTCCCTCGTGGGCCCACTCCCGTCTGCCTGGCCTGCTGCCCGCCTGGTCCTCGCCCCACCCCCAGCAGGAGGGCTCCCGGGGCAGGAGGCCCGTGGGGAGGGGGTGGGGGACGGGAAGATGGGATTTCTCACACTCGACCCTCCCTTCCCTCTGCCCCGCCCAGGGTCCTCCCCACCACGCCCGTGGGGCCCAGCCTGCCCGGGCACCGCTCCACCCGCCCCTACACCGTCTTTGAGCTGGAGCAGGTCCGGCAGCAGAGCCGCAAGTACGCAGGGGAGTCGTGGGCAGGGCTGTGCCGGGAGGCAGGACAGACAGCGATGCGGGCTCCCCCTCACCGGGGACGCCTCTGAGCTGGCACCAGCTCTCCCAGGGCAAGAATGGGGCAGGCAGAAGAGGCAGGACCAGTCACACCTGCCTTCGGAGTCCTGGGGGGACCTCGCCAAGGCTGCCGGCCACCTTCCCTCCTCACCCCCGTTCCCAGGCCCTCCAGTGCCTCAGCCGTGGCTTGGCATCACTCGGCGAGAGGCCGCTCGGCACCTCTGGAGCTCGGCCCACACCTGCAGCCTTTCCACCTCCTGAGGGTGGGCTCAGAGGAAAGGGGGGTTTTCAAACTGAGCTGAGGAGCCTAGGGGTTTCCGGTGCGCAGGGCGAGGCACCGCCCCCCAGGCTGGCTGGAGGAGCTGGCTTCTCTCCGGGCGGCTCCTGCACTGCCCACCTCAGCAAACCTTCCTGGCAAGCCTGGGCGTGGTCCCTTGGGAACGGCGGAAAGGGCTCCCGCCCACCTGAGTCCCGCTGAGCTGGGGGTAGAGAGGTGGTGTGAGCCGGGCGTGGACTCCGGCCTGTGCATGGGGTCCGGCTGTGCGGCCGCCTCACCCTCCTTTCTGCCCACACCCGCAGCCTCAAGCTGGGCAACCTCGCCTTCCCGCGGGCTGACCTGGCGTCGATGGAGCGGAGCGTGGGGCGTCTGCGCACCATGCACTCCAAGATGCTGATGGACATCGAGAAGGTGCAGTTCCACTACGGGGGCTCGGTCAAGGCCAGCAGCCAGATGATCCACGAGCTGCTGCAGGCCCAGTGCCTGGGCGGCCCCTGCTGCAAGCGGTAGGACAGTGGTGCAGACTGAGCCCACCGCTGGAACGCCCTGTGGAGGGAGGGTGTGTGTGGGGGGGTGGCCCTGGCCGGTGTGCTCGGTGGTTAGTGTCAGCCCACGGACTGAAGGGTCTCAGGTTCAATTCCAGTCACGGGCAGGTACCTCGGTTGCAGGCTCGATTCCCTTCCCTGGTCATGGTGTGTGCGGGAGGCAGCCAGTCGATGTGTCTCACTCACATTGGTGTGTCTCTCCCCCTCCCTTCCACTCTCTCTAAAAATCAATGGAAAAATATCCTTGGGTGAGGATTAACAAAAAATAGTGTGTGTGAGAGTGTGTGTTTGTGTGAGCGTGAGTGTGTGTGTATGTGAGTGTGTGTGTATGTGAGTGAGTGTGTGTGTGAGAGTGTGTGTGTGTGAGAGTGTGTGTGTGAGCGTGAGTGTGTGTGTATGTGAGTGAGTGTGTGTGTGTGAGAGTGTGTGTGTGTGTGTCTGTGTGTGAGAGTGTGAGAGAGTGGTCCTCACGATGGCTGGCCAGGAGGTGGCTCTGCTCACTCACCCGCCTGTCTGCCCCTTGCTCTGCCCTGGCCCCAGAGGCCCCTGAGGACAGCTGCCCCCTCCCTCTGGCAGGCCCCCCCCCCGAGGTCACCCGTTCCGTCCCCCGCTGTCCTCCTCACAGGGTGTCGGAGATGACGGACTACAGCTTCGCCACGGTGT